TTTTTGGAGTGCGGTGTTTTGAGTTTCTTGCCCTTGTCAATTTCTCTTGTAATTGCCAGTCTATAAAGACCTTCTCCGCCTGGTTTCTCAAACTTTGTGCTACCTCCACTTCTCCTTCTGGGTCTTGCAGTAATTCCATAGGCAGGTCATGTAGTCTTTCAGAAAAAACTCTCCCATCACTGTCAGGACACCTACCCAGAGCATGCTGATACGGGCTGTATCCCCGTACCTGTTCACGTTGGTTCCAAACATATGTTGCATGTGGCAGCAAACTATGGATATCTAGTTCATCATCAAGAGACATTTTCGTCAGGAGTTCTTTGATCCATGCTATGCTTCGTTCCACATGTGAAAGGTTCCAGTGTGCTTCTGCAGGAATGGTGTCAGGAAAAACGCCCTGCTGGTCGAAATACTGACGAATCTCATGTGACCTGAGAGCGCCTTCGGGGTCCAGTCTCACCACATCAGGGATTCCAAAATATGGTTTCCATTTTTCTTCAAAAATCTTGGTGTAATCCGTGGCCTTGACCCCTTTTCCCTCAACTTTGACCAGGTGAGTGACCATAAACCGACTTGCTTCATCCAAAAGAACTACAAACTGAATTTGTTGTCGGGTTTTAGGATGCCGCCAAAACCCAGCATCCATTTGAACACTCCTCCAACGGGCCACATTGACATTCAAGGTGGCTTGCAGTCGTGGGTCTGGTCGTTTTCTCTCTTCACATGAGCTACATCTAAACTGATTGGCAAGTTCGAGAACCTCAGGGTGTACCTTCTTACTCTTAAGGGCTTGAACCAAAACGTGTTTACTGCCATGACCAGTGGAAGCATGAATGAGAGAGATATCCCGTTGCGCTTTGCGACGCTCCTCTGGCGTCAGGGGTCTGTGTTTTTGTTCCTCAGTCATGAAAATCACACCATGTTGGTCTTTCATACAATTGAAACAAGTAAGTTCACGATTCCAATTTTTGATCATGCGACACTCACACTTGGCAGCATGTTTGGGTTCTTGTGGATGTCTCGTGTCCATGTCATCATGTTCATGATCATGTTCCGTGTCATGTGTGTGGCTGACCGGCTGGGACCCTCTGGATGTGTGGTACACATGACCCTCATCCCCAAACCAACATTTGAGATTTTCAGGGTTACCCAAACACTTCATATGTCGAACCACTCTACGAACCATTTCGGGGGTATAGAAAGCGGTAGTTCTCGTCATCGACCCTTCGCATGGTGCATGTTGGTACCCTGAACCACATTGACATGGAGCATGAATAGCTGACGCTAACTGATGATTCGTGCATTCCAGTCTCCATTCCTTTCCCAAAAGTTTCTGGGTTTTGGGGTTCTTGAGATTCACCTGACATCCCGCAATAATCGCAGTTTGGGTTTGATGTCTATTGCGCCACTTATCCATGGGTTCCCATTTCCAAGCTCTGCATCGCCGGCTCCATTCCCAGACCACATCACAACCCAAATGACGTGCCGCATCTGCAATCACGAGACCCCCAATGTGCTGTTTCCTAGCCTCATTCTGTTTTCGTTTCAACGTTTCGATTTGTTCGGGGTTTCTCTGATTACAGTTTTGCATGGGAGAAAACGCACCACATTCAGTAGATATCCAAACATAACGAGGTCTATGTTTTTCAATGAACTTGACACACCTACGGACACCTTCACCTGTTGACAAATCATGGTCATTCCAAATGGAGAGACGGGCTGCAGTCAGCCCTTGTTTTTGCACCTCTTCGGACAGTGCAGAGTCTTGAGAACAAGCAATCTCGACCAGAAAAAGTTTCTGATCTTGGCCATTTGAAATCAACGCCTCCCAGGCGTCAGGTATGATACATTTGCCACACTCATGAAGGGCCTGAGCTTTGGCATGGGTCAGAGATCTCACTTCTGATTCTCCACTTTCACATATCCCTCGGTCGATGCCACACTGCGGGACTTGCGAGGGGCCTCGCGCATCTCCTCTTGCATCTCGGTCATGTTCTTGACCAATTGCTGCAGAGTTTCTTTCATCTCCTTGATGTCCGAAGCGTTGGACGCCTGAGAGCTCTTGCTCTTGGCGCTCTTCACTGGGCTGTTCGGTTCTGCCACTGGAATTTTCTTGGTGCGGTTCACGAACTGGTTCATCTCTCCCAGGGACTTCTCGCTCAGCATCTGTGCATGCTCTTGGTTGATCACTTCCTCTTTGACATCCATTCTGGTCACCCAATGCACCAACTGGCGAAGCTGCCACCCTGGGTTCTCGCTCCGGTCCACCTCCTCGATGGCCCACTTGATGTAGTCCGGTGAGGTGTGAGCAATCTCCTCGAAGGACATTCCGTTGCAACGACCCCCGTAGTGGTAGGTGGTCGAGGCTGTGCCGTTCTGAATGATCCACTGCTTGAGGTGGAGACGAAGGTCTCCCACACGGGCTTTCTCCCACAGTGGAATGCCACGCTCGAGGCACATCTCCTTGAGCTGGTCCAACTTGGCCTGGTTGATGGTGGTCATCACATCTTGCTGACCCTTGGTCTCGCTGATGAGTCCGACCGCAATGCGGTTCTCGCGGACCAGGACTTTCAACTCGGCCACTGTGAACTCTTTGGGGTTCGTCACTGGATGCCCAAAAGCTGCCAACTCTGCTAAGCACTCCGACTTGATCATGAGATAGTGTGGTTTCATCGCGTTGTTGCCCCAAGTGGTCACCTTGTTGGTCGCCATGATCACTGGAAAGAGATAGTGACCTAGGTGTTGTAAAGCTGACCTTTTTGGAACTTTCAAACGGCTGCGGGGACGGCGTGATCATGTGAATATGTTGAGAAACCACATGGCTCATGCTTCCCAAGTCTTGAACCCTACCGTTGGAAACCGTTTTATGCTGGTGTTTGACATGTACCTGAACCTCATGACCTTGTTGTTTAGGCTGGAGTGAGTCTATGTCAGTAACACCGGACAGGCCTGAAATCATTTGATCCCCACACTCAGGCGCAGGCTCACCTGAGCTGAGTCCGGTTTCCTATTCTACCAGCTGAGCCAGGCTGTGCACTGCCTGGGCTAAGGGCTTTCCCTTGGACATGAAATCTTCGGCTAATGGTATCAGCTGGTGTCCGGCTACGGACCTCTGAAGTGCAATCAATTTCTTGGGGTTGACATCACTGAAAATCGCCTGATCATTCCTGAAATCAACGATTGCACCTAGACGCCTCAAAGTGTCTACGGAGATCAAAACTGGGGCATTGCCCTGATCTAGCGCATGAATTTTCAGGCTCATGGGCTTCTCTTTGGTGGGCACCTTGAAGTAGCAGGTGGATACGCAGCGGCCACGATGGCTATTCCCAAAACCAAAAGTGGGTTGTTCACTCAAGTCCACCTTGCTGATGCCTTGGTGGTCTTTCTCCTTGCACTTCTCTTCCAGACATTCCAGCGCCTTGATGGACGCCATTGTCTTGGTGGCTCCTCCATCGAGGACCCCATAGCCGGCCATCATAGCATCCTGAGTGCTCATGTGAGTGCCAGAGAAGCACACGGGATCTTCGCTGCTCCAGGTCTGGCCATAGATGAACTCAGAGTGTTCCACTTCTTCCGCTTCAAAGGTTTTCTGCTCTCCACCTGAGCTCTGAGATTTCTGGGGACAATCCTTGGTGTCGTGGTTCTTGCCGCAGCGGGCGCACGGTCCACCACCCTTGGTGAAATTGCTGCCCTTGCCGCGGAAGCGGTCTCGATCATTGGACTTGCCTTTTCCTTTGCCAAAATGGCTGGAGTTGAAGAAACGGCGGCCCATTCTGACCTCATGTTGTTTGGCCCTCGCTTCTCGCAAGGTCTGTCGACCCTGTTGGATTTGCATCCAGGCCGCCTCTGCATCAGCTTTGGCTTGCTGATAGAAGGCCATGTCCTCTTCAGACAATGTCTCATAGAAGGCCTCGTCCTCATCGCCAAAGTTGATCTCGTCTTCCTGGTCCATCTCCTCGTCTCCATAGAGAGCATGCCTGGAGTCTCCATCTTTCCGACGGATCATGTCATCGGTGAAGTGGCTGCGAAGGGCTGACTCGACAGCCTGGAGACTAAAGTCGTTCTTCACCTCAGACTGGATCAGTGATCGCTCAAGGTGATCAATGTTCGCCTTCTCCAACAGCAGCCATCCTTTGATGACATCCGGTAGGATCTCCACGAAGTCCTCATCATCTTCTTCTGGATCTTCAGCCAAGTCTTCATCATCCTCATCTGGTTGATACTGGACTCCTCCAGGATACCAAGCATCTTGGTACCAGGCGGGATCCATCCAGCCTGTGGTCCAATACCACCAGTCATCATAATCATCCCAACGTTCTCCTTCTTCTGCATCTCCCTCTGGCGGCTCATCTGCTTCAGCGGGATCCTGGTCACCACTGATGCCTTCGGAGGCCAGGTCACTTGTGCCCCCCTGTCTACCTGACCTCTCTGATCTGGAGTCAGTGAGGGTCAGTGCAGAGGAACGGGAGAGTCGACGTTCTGAATGCCAATTGGTCTTGTGGTCCTTCTTCTTGAGCATCTTTCGTTCCTTCATGACTCTAGTCAAGGCCTTGCATGTCTTGGCATACTCCTCACGGTGTCTCACGCAGAAAGCAGCCATGGACTCACCTCGACGGCGCCGAAGGACTTTGAAGTATGCTCTCAACTGGTTGGCAATCTCGGGAAGGGCTGGCTCAGACATGCTGCTGCGCAAGCACCGCAACAGCTTGTCCACTCCATTGCTATGTGACAGCCATCCTTTTCTCTTGCTACTGATAGCTGCTTTCGCGGCTCCACTGAGCTCAGCCGCCAGCCTGGGCCCACAGAGGTAACGGTTTTCCCACTTAACCGTCTCCTCATAGAGCTGGGCTGACTTGCGATACTCAGTCCATGTCGCAGGGTTTCCATCCCATCCAGGAATGTTGTCCTTACCTTTGGTGACCGTCATGCGGTACTGATTGGGCTCTTCACGTGTCCGATACAGACACCACTGGATCCTCTCCCGCGCACGCTCGGCTCTTGCGGGAGCCCCACCCAGTTCTCACGGAACTGAGCAGGGCTCCGCTACCATGCAGGTAGCAATGGCAGCGCCCTTCCTATTTGTTTCTGGCAACAAGGGGGCCTGAGCCCAGATGTACCGAATGTGAGTACTTTGGGATAATAGAGTTCGTGTTAAACTCGCATATATATATATGGACCATATTGAGATTGCTGTTTCCATGTGTCATCGCCAGGTTCGCACGCGGCTCTGCGTGAATCTTCGGGTGATTCGCGAGGCTGCCATAATTTTCACCACGGAAATGGGTGAAGGTTCAAAGATTTAATGGGATTTAATGGGAATTCATAGAATTTAATAGGATTTCATAGAACTTATTGGGATGGATTTATTGGGATTTCATAGAACTTTTTGGGATTTAATGGGATTTAATGGGAATTCAACCAGCAACAACATGGATTTTAATGGGATTAACTGGGGTTTAATGGGAATTAACCACTCATAGGGCTTTAATGGGATTACACCATCAACAATAAATATATAAGGCATTTTATGGGATTTATGTAATCATACTTGGGGGCGCAGTTGGGCTGACTTTCACGGATATAACCATGGAATAATAACCTCAATTAAAGTTGAGAGAGAGAGATATATATATATATGCATGATAACAATGGTTATACAATCCTACTTATAACTGGAACTGCGTCCCGAAGTGGGTAATAAGTGGTGAACATATAGCTACCAATGGTGGCCAATGGAAGAGGTACCCGACGGCTCTGCCGTAGGTCAAACGTGGCAATGAAAAATCCAACATTATTTGTAGATAGGTTTCCCAATAAAACCTTCATTTATTGAGGCTTTCCCATGCAATATTTGATTTGATTACTGAAGGGTAATTATTAATGTATTTTTTTCTGAGTGACTATCAGCGTTGATTCCAAAAAGTGGGAATGTTGACCGTGATGACACGTAGATTACAAGTATATTTGTTAAAGATAGGATGTTGACATTAGTGTACGTAAATATTCAGATATTCGCCAAATGAATATGGATACTGATTAATGAGGTCGTTAGCGGCGAAATTTCCTTTTTATGACTGTGGCTCTCCCCAAATTGGAACAACTATGGTTTGTCTGAATGTGGGTTGGCATTTTCCGGTCACATTTGGCATTGATGAATTTCCTTTTACATTAACCTTGTGTAATTTCACATAGCTATTGAAATGGCATAAAATTGCCATTCATAGTTGATTTACCTATTAAAGAGCGTGATTTTCCATAGCTATGTTAGCTTACCAGAGAGTACACATAACTTAATTTTGAGGGCCAAACTCCAGTGGCAACTGGGACCCAATTGATTTTGAGTCATACCGGTTCGGGTGGAATTGACCATACTCAGAATGATTGTGTTCCAAAAAATGGAACCAATGTGACGGAAGGAGTGGCTAAACCAGGCTGAGCATGGAAGAACTTATATTACATAAATAAAATAATAATGTCTATATATATATATATATGCCCCACATCCAAACAACAACTGGTTTCAAGTCATGGTGGAAAAGACATGAAAAGACATGAAAAAACATGAAAAGACACCTTTTTCGAACAGTAGAACGCCAGTTTTTGACAACAAAAAATTTTGGGAATGAGTCAGATGAATTGGCGCGTTCCTTCAGATCCAACATTTTGCTACAGCACTATACAATCTGAACAGAAAACATGTATATATTTATAGTTATGGGTTGGATTTTTCCTTGGCCATTGTGCATTTTCACGAAAAGGGGTGACAGACAGACAAACACATTGTTTTTGTTTGGTTGTCTGTTTGTTCAAATCATGATGTTTGATTGTGCATGTTCTTGGCAAACAAACCGATGTATAGTACATACAGTATAGAAACTTAGGAAACTTAGGAAACTCGCAGATGTTGTCACGAAGACGAGTTTTCAAACTGCTCTGGTCATGCATATACCCACCAGGAGATTTGTAGTTTGTATTCTTTTGGCACAGGGGTTTCAGTACCAAATTAAATGTCCACACATTGTATATGTCTAAAAAATATTTTGCTTCATAATGTATTGAGATTTGTGATCTTAATGTTATGATCGACTTGGGGAACATGACATGGCGGGTATTGGATCACCCAGCCCTGCATCCAGCCCGGTAAACATCCCTGGGCGAGGCTGCCAACATTTTCGTGACGCTTCAAGAGGGTTCAGAAGAGGTGCGGCTCTGGGGCGTCCTGGCCACCGGAATTCACATTTCCTGTTTGTTGTCAATCAACATGCCCATAGGATCCATGTATGGTATATTTGCTAACATTTGGGGTATATTGATGGTAAATGTTACCATATATTGCATGGCATACATGGATCCTATGGGATATATCAACAATATCAACACTAATATTAATGAAATAAATCTGCAAACATCTGGGATTTTGTTGTGGATTTTGTGTTTTGCAAAATTGTCAGCGGCGAGGAAGCTAGAAAGTAATTCTTGCTAGGTACCATTGAATCAACCCTTCAACCTGCATCCCCTGTGCAACTATCTGGTTGCACAATGCCGTCATGTCACCCTCCCCGGTGTATTTTGCCTCAGTGGCTGAGCTGACATTCAAAACCGCACAAGAGGACTCATTGGAAATGAGAAGCTTAGATTTTTTATTGTTCCATATATTGGGAATGTCATAATCCCAACTTACTTTCATATTTTTCAGAGGGGTGAGTCAACCACCAATCAGATTTGTGTTTGTTGGATTTTCCCTGATTTTACCATAAGACTCACGCTGCTGTCTTCCCGGCGACCGCCGGTGGCGCAAAACTAGGCTTGGACACGAGTGAAACGCTCCTTCGACGAGGTCTTCGAAACGAAACTGCGCAATCCGCGATGAAAATGTTGATTTTAGTGGGACAATCCGGTATAAACGGATGTTTCTATGGTACAATCGGTGTGAGAAAATCTACTACAACTGGAGGTTTGTAGATGGGACAATCCGGAAAATACATGAAGGTTTGTAGCTGGGAAATTCATCGAACTATAGCTGAAGGATTTTTGCCGCCATGTTTGATTGCCAGTGAGGGTGCTTTGTATGCTTTCATATTTTATCAGATGATGATAAGTCATGTTTAGTCATATTATGTTGATAATATTCTAGTTGTATCTATTTTGGCATGCAAAGAGTATTGATGATTAGTCATGTTTAGCCCTCCATCATTCTCTCAGATAGGACTTGCAACTTGACCCTAGCTACTGGAGAGGGGCATCTGTTATTCCCCAATATCGATAGCTTGGTGTTGTTGTCTGTTCATGGTCAAGTGTTGATGTCTACTTGAGGTTCATTCCGATTCCCAGCTTCAGATAGTAATCAGATAGATTATTTTTTTTATCCGCCGTATTTTGTCTATATAGGTCAAACTTTCAACATGTGTTCTTCAAACGGGAACGGGTCAAACCAATCTGATGAGCTGCATTTACCAGTGGCTTTGACCCGCCTCAAAATTACTTATAGATTCCTCGTTGTTTACAATTGGTTAATTAATCTAAGAATTCTCCATGGTTTATATCAAGTTATGTATTTTTTACATATATTCCCAATGATTCCCACATGTGTTTGCGAATTCAATGTTTGTTACATTCATGTTTGGTTATTCATGGTTATAGAAAATAATAATTTATTTGAATCAGATCTTAATTGGATTACATTGGCATGGTCCATGGTTTATCATATGTCATGTCTCCGTAGATTCACATGTTTCCCCAAGTTCTTCAATGTTTTGTTATCATAATCATGTTTTGTCTGATGTATCCTCTAACGAATGGATTTGGGAATCTTGTTCTGTTGTTAACGTTATCTTAATGGATTCCTCTAATTTATCATTTCCCTACAGATTCCCATGATTTCCCCATATTGTTTACATGATTTGTTGCAGTGCTTTCTCCCCAACTGACATACAAAGCGCGTCGGCAGGAACGCTTCGGTGAGAAGCGACTGTCCGTCAAGAGAGCAAAGGCGTGTATGTTGGAGACTGTCCAAACAGATTTTTTGGGTTTCTTAAAATGGGGGGATCCCCAAGGCCGGTCTCAATATGAGAATGGCCATCCGTGACTTGGATGATTTGGGGTTACCCCCCATTTTAGGAAACCTTCATATATTCATGAATAGATGTATATATATATATATACATGTATATAGTCGTCCTGGAGTAGATAGAAGATGGGCATATTAAATCAAGAAAAAACACGTATACTAAAATGGGAATATGTTTGACAATCCCATATTGTATCCACGTGTGTATATATATATACATATATATATATAGGTGATTTGACTAAGGAGAATGTTGACCGACAAAAAAAATGACTCGTGGGAATTAGTGGGACAGTGGGACTTTCATGGTACAGTAATGGTGATCAATGGGACACTAATGGCAATTTAACCAAGTTTGTTATCGGGATGTCATGGGCATATTACCAATGGGGATGGATCAAAACCTACGTATAATATCATATTTTGGATGATCGTCCATTTACCAGCTATTTTTTGTGTTCAGATACAGAGTTTTGACCCGGCAAATGTTTTGCATCAAATAATTTAAATGGGTGTTGATGATTTTATATCAATTTATTTACCCACCAATTACATATCAGATTCCGAGGGCAGTGGGGGGTCATGCTCTTTTACCCAAGATGAGGATCTTCTGAACGTTGGGACCCAACAAGACACCGAAAATTTGGGCTAAATACAGAGGCGTGATCACACGGTGGGTGTATGTGGGGTATGGTTTAATTACTGTAAATTGATATTTATACAATGTTTGAACGTATTTGATATAAGATATACAAACAATATATTTCAGAGCATAATGTCAGTGAGATGAGCACAGGAATTGCACATCAAATTACATTTTTGTATATCAAATCTCCAGTGAGATGTCCATTTCAAATCACATTTTTTTTACCAGATGAAGCAACAGCAATTGGAGATTTGCTGAAGAAACCAGTGCAACTGGGGGATGACGGTTTCGGAGATTCTGCGGGATTTACCTACTATATACTGCAATATATATATATACTCTATGGCTCTCCCCAAAAAAGATATAATAGTAATTGATTAACTTATGATTATGTCACTACGATTTTATAAACGTTTTCTATATATATATATATTTGGGATGACTATATGTGTATATATATTATAGGTATATTCACCACCAACCAGAGTAGATGTTTCTCCAGCTGGAAAACTTGTCCATGTTGTTTTCGGCAACGTCACATACATATGACCCCCCGAGCAAAGAAGTTGCGGCATCACTCCAGTTTCCCATGGTCAAAATCATCATTTGTTGTCCCATGAAAGGAGATTGTCTTCAGTCCATCAACAAGGGTTTATTCAATATGTTAAAATGATTGGGCTGATATCCCACTATCATCAACGACTTCCCCCTTAGCATCATCTCTCTCCACAATTATGAGTTCTGTCCAGCGGCTATTCCGAACCATTTAGACCTTCGAAGTGACAAAAGAAAGAAACAAGAGAAAGATGCCTCAACAAAAATATAGAAGACTATCACTACCTATCACTTATTTTTTTTGGTAATATACCAATTTGGAGGTTTCCTAAAATGGGGCTAACCCCAAATCATCCAAGTCATTATACCATGTTGATATTAAAAGCCATGGGTTTGGGGATCCCTCATGACCTAAGAACCCCCATTTCTACGGTCGACCAGCACCAGGTCGTAGAGCCCACGGGTGTCTTCCTGTCGACCGATGGCTTTCTGATGGTTCAGGCGAAAGGTCAGCGAAAGACGAAAGGGGCGAAAGGGGGTCTGGGGCGACCTGGAAAGCCACCGTGAAGTTTCTGGACAGTTTTGAAAGATGACGAAAGATGATAACAGATCATAAAAGATATGAACATGTTAGTTTTTACCTTGGTTTAAACCCAGATGTTTATATTTCATAGATCTTTGTTGATGTTTGGTCGCACCTGGAGAATCCACCTTTTTCGCTCTTTTTCGGGATCTCTTCATGGCTGGATCAAACTTCCGAGGTCGAAAGCCCAAACCACAACCGAAACCGCCCGAGTCACCCTTGCACTACGTGCTCAGGCGGGGAAGCAAACTGAGAATTTGTTTGGTGAACTCGAGTGGATTTTTTCAGCAAACTTCGACACAGGGGGTACCAACACGAAGTCACTGAGATGACCTGAGTTGTGATGTTGTTTGCATCATGTTCTATCATGTTTTTGTTTGTTAACGTTATCATGTTTAAAGGTTTTCTAATCTAAATGTATGCATGTTCTCGATTTAAAGTAAGAATGATGTTGTCCGCACTTCAGACTTTGACTCGGTTGATGGGACTACAGTACTACATACGTTTTAACATGTTTTAACGTGTCCGATTGGACCCTAGGAAGCTGTGACTCACAGCTTCCCCCCTTGTGGCTCCTTGTGGTTGGGACTGGTTCACCATGGTTCACCGCTGAAACCGCAGATACAGCACAATTTCTGCAATGCAGTTCCGGAGCCCTGGAAATCATCGAACTGTGACGGTAGTTCGTTGGCCCTTTTTTTAAGCTTTATGAAGCTTTAAACATTGAAGGGTTAGTTGATCAAAAGGATGATCAAAAGGACTGGCCATTTGTGATCTTGCGTTTTCCCAACTTGAAGCCATCCATCATGCATTCTGTTTATCTGTTTTTCTGGGTTGAATTGATTTGAACAGCCCAGCGATGTGCTTGGTTCATCCCCAAATATGGGACGTTCCAAAGAAGTAACTTGATCCATACCCATGAAATGCCCATCCACCTCGCGTTGAAATCTGTGGCCAAGGTTAGCAGTGGACAAAGAAAACCACTATGCCTTTGTGCCACTCTTGGTTCGCGTCGCGCAGGGATCAGATATGATCGAAGGAAGTTTAGAAGTCAAACTTCCGACAATATGGACAGATGAAAAGCAGAGTAGGGCAGAGGCAGAGAGAAGAGAAAGATTAGAAGAGAGAAGAGTAGAAGAGAAAGAGTAAGAGGACAGAAGATACAGATGCGCGAAAAGGTAGGAAAGTCGCGAAACACTGTGTTTTTCCAATGATTTGTGGCTCAGGAGGGTCGAAAAGTAGGCTCGCTAAAGCGGCGGGTGCGGAGCCATAAAATGGTCCGAGCCCCTAGTGTTTTGGACATTTTGACTTGGAAATGTGCTTCCCGCCACAACGGCGTGCACTTTTTCGACATCTCAACTTCCAAAAGTGGTCCGAGACCGCCAGTTTTTAGCACTTTTGACTTCAAAATGTGCTTCCCGCCACAACGGCGTGCACTTTTTCGACATCTCAACTTCCAAAAGTGGTCCGAGACCGCCAGTTTTTAACACTTTTGACTTGGAAATGTGCTTCCCGCCACAACGGCGTGCACTTTTTCGACATCGCAACTTCCAAAAGTGGTCCGACCATGGTGTGCTTTGTACATTTTGACTTGGAAATGTGCTTCGCGCCACAACGGTGCGCACTTTTTCGACATCTCAACTTCCAAAAGTGGTCCGGACCATGGTGTGTTTTGTACATTTTGACTTGGAAATGTGCTTCGCGCCACAACGGCGCGCACTTTTTCGACATCCCAACTTCCAAAAGTGGTCCGGACCTGAGGTGTTTTGTACCTTTTGACTTGGAAATGTGCTTCGCGCCACAACGGCGTGCAATTTTTCATCGCTCCTGTGGCCAGCTGGAGGTTCAGATGTTGAAAAAGTGTACGCCGTTGTGGCGCGAAGCACCCTTCGAAGTCACACTGCATTACAGTACAGTACACTCCAGCACACTCCACTACACTAAATTACACTACACCACACTACATTACACTGAATGACACTGAATGACACTGCAACACAGATAGACAGGTAGACAGCTAGACAGATAGACAGATGAAAGGGAGAGAGAGGCAGACAGGTAGGTAGATAGATAGATAGGTAATTAGATGAAAGAGAGAGAGAGAGAGAGGAGCTGGGTAGATGAGATAGATAGATAGATAGATAGATGGCTAGACAGATAGACAGACAGAAAGACAGACAGATCAATAGACAGACAGACAGACAGACAGACAGACAGATAGATAGATAGATAGAGAGATAGATAGAAAGAAAGAAAGATAGATAGATAGATAGAGAGATAGACAGGTAGACAGCTAGACAGATAGACAGATGAAAGAGAGAGAGAGAGAGAGATCGATAGACAGATAGATACATAGATAGATAGATAGATTGGTAGGTAGGTAGGTAGGTAGATAGTCAGAGGAAGCGAGAGAAAGAGCGAGAGAGATCAAGCACCTTTCGGTTCATCAGTCGCTTCGCTCTGCCATCCCTGATTCACAACAACCAACCTCTCCTATAGGTTTCCTATTTTTGAAATTTCCGCCACCGCCTTGTGCGGTACTACTGGTACAATATAACAGAATAGAATCGAAAAATAAAATAGAATATAATATCGCTTGAAGATGGTTGAAGCAGAACGGCGAAGGATCAAGGGCATATTGTTTAGCAGGTTTCCGAGCAAATACGCTTGGGACAACATGTGTTTTCATGTGTTTTCTGTTTGGTGATTAAATATAGAGGAATTACTAGGATCCAAAGCTGGTAAGGGATGTACATGTAGCCCGCTGTCACTTCCTAAATGTGATGTGTCCAAGGCCAGACGAAGATTACGGGAGAGCCAGTGTTTTGAATTCTGTGTGACTTAACCGGCAGTTATTGTCACTATACTGGGAAAAACACCGGAAAATGATCATTACCCCGGGGATTTTGGGGTACGCTATTTTCAGAACAACTCATATGCATCACAGTTTTTCTTAATATACCAAGTTGCGATTTTGGGGTCTATTTTTAAACTTGTTGGTGGTTTCAAACATTTTTTATTTTCCATTTCATATATGGGATAATCCCAACCCCATTGACTTTCATATTTTTCGAAATGGTTAAGTCACCACCAACCAACTATATGTTGCAGTCATGCAGCCAGCCAATGCGTTTTTCGTCCTTCATTCACTGCGATGGACATTGCCATAGTGGACCGAGAAACATCGAGGAACTGTTGGATGATCCAACGGAGTATCCTGGAGGGTACCCGATGTTCCCGGAATGTTCTGTCCAACATTAATCCAGTTTGATGAGTCTCATTCTGGCAACTTGTTGATTGATAGTGATTTGTGAAAAATTGTCCTTTCTCCATATTTGACCAAAAGTTTCTTAGCAGTTTTCAAAAACATCCACCAGAAAAGAAGGCAAGAATTTCTTAAACAATTTTCATGCTTTGCTCAAAATCCCATTATCCCATTGACTGCTGAAGCGAGTTGCTTCAGATCTTCAGGTTGTACTGGGCGCAGCTGGCGATTTGGCCAAAAAGAAGTACCTCGGTGCAGCGGTCAGCCGTGGACACTGTGGACACTGGTTTTCCCACACGCGCTGATCTCAAAGGAAACATGTTGATTTCAACTTTCAACTTGTGAGATCAAAGGATGTTGAAAAAAAAATGATCCCAACTTTCACGTTCACATTTCGAACCGGCAAGGCATTCATAGTCATTATGATATAGATCATGATATAGAATGTTATAGATCATGATTCCCTTATTCACTTAAATATGCTTGTAATCACTGCTTCAACATGTCGCATATGATATGTGCATCAATGCTTGTGAACTAACCTCCCCAGTGTTTGTTAAATGATGTCTTTCGTGTTTGCTTATTTCAGCTTTGCAAATATTTTGAATGACATGTTATGAACAAGTTTTGTGTGGGTCAGATCCACTCATAAACATATACCATCTGGTTATTTAACATAGCCATGGAAAATCCCAACCATAAATGGAGGTTTCTAGCTGGGAAAATCATCTATAAATGGGCCATGTTCCATTTTTAATAACTATGGAAAATCACCATTTTTAATGGGAAAACTCACTATAAATTGCCATTTTCAATAGCAAACTGTTAGTTTACCAGAGGGTATGTCAGCTTCAGTCTTCCATAATATGTGCTGTCGTGGCCCAACCACGGCCCATCCCAGGACTTTTCCATCTCTCTTTCAGCTCCATATGGGGTGCGGAGACCTGGTTTTTGATGTGGGGTCTCTGGGGAAGCGGAGTATATATATACCTGGTAAACATCAAACCTAGAAATTCTTAGTGCAAATTGAAATAACTACAGTTATTCAGTTTTGCCCTAGAAATTCTTAGGTTTCAGGTTTAGCAGGTTATATCTGGTTGGTGGTTTGGAACATGATTTTTATGACTTTCCATATATTGGGAAGAATAATCCCAACTGACTTTCATATTTCTCAGAGGGGTTGAAACCACCAACCTGCTATATACTCTCTGGTAAATTAACATAGACCCTGACAACTGACGACAAGGCATTTTTAGGTGGAAACCAATCGTCCAACCACAAAAAGTGCCAGGGTCTATGTTAATTTACTGGAGGGAACCTATAAATTATAATGCAGCAGTATAGATATAAAGATGTTTGTGTATTTATATATGTAGTTGTTTAGAGGCCATATGTATAGTCTGGAAAACCCAATGCCATGAGCCATCCACAATCGAGGTTAATTCTTTATTGGCTATTCTCCGAAAAAATGTTTTTCCCCACCTGCCAGGTGAGGGTTGTTAGATTTTATGTCAGTTGCCTCCTCCTCCTCCTCCTGCTCCTCCTCCTCCGCCTCCTCCTGCCTCGTCCTCCTCTCCTCCTGCCTCCTGCCTCCTCCTCGTCCTCCTTGTCGTCCTCGTCGTCCTCGTCGTCCTCGTCGTCCTCGTCCAACTGCGACCCGCGATCCACAGTGTTCGCTGCCGGACCTCAACCACGACCATCCACGCCAGTGTTCCCTGCCGGACCTCAACCACGACCAGCCACGCCCAGTGTTCCCTGCCGGACCTCAACCACGACCATCCACGCCCAGTGTTCCCTGCCGGACCTCAACCACGACCATCCACGCCCAGTGTTCCCTGCCGGACCTCAACCACGACCATCCGTGCCAGTGTTCCCTGCCGGACCTCAACCGCGGGTATCCATGCCAAGTGTTCCCTGCCGGACCTCATGTAGGAAGATATGGGACAAAGAATGTGCAGAAGAAAGTTAGAAAAGAAGTCAGAAAGAATGTCAGAAAATATGCCAGAAGATATGCCAGATAGAATGCCAAATAGAATGCCAGATAGAATGCCAGATAGAATGCCAGAAGAGATGTCAGAATATATGCCAGAAGATATGCCAGATAGAATGTCAGAAATATGCCAGAAGATATGCCAGATAGAATGCCAGAAGATATGTCAGAATATATGCCAGAAGATATGCCAGATAGAATGCCAGATAATATGCCAGAAGATATGCCAGATAGAATGCCAGAAGATATGCCAGATAGATATGTCAGAATATATGCCAGAAAATATATCAGATAGAATGCCAGAAGATATGTCAGAATATATGCCAGAAGATATGCCAGATAGAATGCCAGATTGAATGCCAGAAGATATGTCAGATAGAGTGCCAGAAGATATGCCAGATAGAATGGCAGAAGATTTGCCAGATAGAATGCCAGAAGATATGCCAGAAGATATGTCAGATCATATGCCAGAAGATATGTCAGATCATATGCCAGAAGATATGCCAGATAGAATGCCAAATAGAATGTCAGAAGATATGTCAGATAGAATGCCAGAAGATTTGCCAGTAAGAAAATGTATAAATATCATGGTGGGAATCACACGAAGTAAAGTAATTTTTTTGTTGGGATGATGCATTTTGCAGCCCCAAATGGTTGGCTAATGGGATGGTTTAATATGTTGTTTGACCTATGGTTTACCACATTACATTTATCGTGGTTACCCTCTGGTAATTTAACATGGCTATTGAAAATGGCCATTTATTGTGGATTTACCCATTGAAAATGGTGATTTTCCATAGCTATGTTAGTTTACCAGAGGGTAGGACCTATGGGAGGGAGCGATTTGGAGCGATTGGGGTATCCATATTCCTTGCTGCACCAGGATCCTTGGGGAGCTACGAATTGAGTTGAATGGAAGCTGTACGACTGGTTGTACCAACACACCACTGGCCATAGATGCCCGAATTACACGATTTCAAAGGAATGACTACCACAGATGATCACATATTTCTTAATATGTCTTATTCATACCCCATAGGATCCATGTATGCCATATATGGCAACATTTACCATCAATATACCCCAAATGTTAGCAAATATACCATACATGGATCCTATGGGTACCCTCTGCCCCGCGGTAATTGAAGCACAGTTATGGAACATTAGTTACCGAGTAAATAAACATGGTGAATTTCAATGGCTAAGCCCGGCATCATGCGGCATCAGATCACCAGAGGGTAATTCTTCATCCTTAGCACAGCAGTCTCCGATTCCAGGCGTCTCCTTCCAGGAAACATGCACATCATCGGTGTGGACAATCCGCAGTTCCATCAGGCCTTTGATTCGTGTCGATTTTTCACCGACCGACCATGGCTTGGTAAATAAAATGATCATGGCCCTGGCATGGTAAAAAACGGCTGACACGAAACGGTATTTTAAGAGCTTGCTATGGAAAATTGGAGCATCGAACCAAATGCGCAAATTTGCATCATTGCCAGCTACCAGTAGTATTATAAACTGGCGGAGGGTATGTTCAATTTAGGGGTGAGTGATGACAATTTGTCAACTTTGCTGGGATTGTCACAGTGTTTCTGATGTTTTGAATTTTTTGAAAGCATTGCTCAACAAACACTAAGATTAAGGCCGCCGAAAGACTGCGTATGGAAGATGTTTCGTTGGATTGTTTTTTCAGTTTTAGATTCCATAGTCATCCATAGTCCAGTTTGTTGCAGCTTCGGGCCCATCTTTTCTCCGGGAGTCAGTGCAATGAGATATCCAAAGATGAAGGTCTGCGAAAATGGACGACAGGAATGAGAGGCTTGAATGGTATTCCGAATGGTATATCTTGGGTACCGCAACTCACAAGCTACTCTTATCATGTCTTATCTTACTTTGCTCCAGTCAGTGGCGGCATTTGATCGTTTAGGTTTGGAGGTTTGGTTTCATTCATGAGATACCTTAATATTCCCTGCAAACATTTCCCCCATAGGCTGACCGGCTGCAACCCTTGTCTCAGCAACTTGTTCAGGGACTGATCAATAGTTTTGCGACTTTGTTTTCCCCTTTTTTGCCCCTCATGTATGGATCAAGACCCTCTAAAATCACACATTTTAATCGAACGCTGGTAACCTGGACCCGGTCCGCTGACCTTTCTGGGCCAGTGCTGGACCCACTCTTCGTTTTGGCCGATCCGAAACGCAGGATGTGAAGGACGTCTCTGACTTTTGGGAGAAACGACTTCGAGGCTACCTCGAAAAGCAAAAAGGATGGGTCGCTGAGGCGAGGATGTGACCCACGGATGTTGCAGATTATAGCCGGGGGGGGCATCCAGCTATGTATTATATTGTGTTATGTAAAATAATATATATATATTAATAGTAGATAATTTTTAATTATGAAAATTATATTATACATATATGTATAATATACACATCTTTCATGACCCCGGACAATAGGTACTTGGGTTGCAAGTTTGGGCGCTTGGGACCTATGTTCTTATGGACTCTGGTCAGTCATGACTTGGCTTTCAAGATCAACAGATCCATGGCCGTTGAAATTATTTTATACATTTTTATACAGTACCTAGAGATTCTAAATCTCAAAATATTTTGGTCGATGCCCTTTGTAGTACTTTTTCTGGTCGATATTCCAAAAAGTAAACGTTTGAGTCGTTTCAGATTGTTTTAAGTCAAAATCGAACGTTTCAAAGATAAGTAGGCGAACCCCACCCTTCTTTTCCCTAGAGCGCTGTTGCGGTGCTCTCTCTGGACAACCTCTGGCCGTGGACACCATCGCATCCAGCCGGGTGACTCAAAGCTGCGGTTAAACCCCTTAGAGGTAATTGAGTGCATTGAATTGCATTTTATAAAGGCCTAAAGCCTTTTGAATGCATCGAAATGACGATTGTGTTGGATGAACTGATCGGCTCAATCTGCTTATCCTGCCAATATAGTCCTCATCGGCCCAGCATGAAAAATCTCAGATGCACAGGGTTTGGAAGAAAAAATGATGAATCAGTTCAGGGCAAACAATGACCCCAAAATAATTCAAAATTGAACAAACTTGATCACCTTAGCTCAGCAACTCAAAGCTGAGAATGCCACAGGGCCAGAGTGTGGCCCCATCAGCAGCGTCAAATGTAGCTGCATATGTAACTTTGGACGGAGCCGGAACAACTTAAGCCCAACTTGGAAACACTTCGATGCCACGTGCGCATAAGCTTCCTGAAATTGGTTTGGACAACAGATACCCCAAATAGATGCCACCAAACCCAAAACATCAGTATATACCATATACCCATTTGATTTTTATATAGACCAGACAACAGTACTTGTTGCACAAGATTTGTAGAATTTTATATAAGATGGGAAATGCCTTGTTGCCTCTACAAATCGAAAGGGTAAAATGATATGAATCCAAGTCAAGTGTCACACATTTGTTGACCAGCATGATACACCACTGTCTTCTGGGGCTCATAGATGAACACACCACACTCACGCAAGGTTCTGAAGAAGAGGTTGGTGCAGGCCACTGCATATCTTAAGCCCTGCACAAAGTCATCATCATCATAGTCCTTAGTAGTGATCTTACCCCAGAAAGGTTCATAACTATGGCCATCCACGCATTGGGTTTCCCTGATGTAATCGGGTCTAATTACTCATTTAAGCGTTTGGGGATTGAACTAAAATAGTTTGAAAGAATTCAAAGGGTGGTTGTCCACTACTTATCTTTGAAACGTTTGGTTTTGGCTTAAAACAATCTGAAACGACTCAAACGTTTACTCTTGGGAATATCGACCAGAAAAGTACTACAAAGGGCATCGACCAAAAAAGATTGAGATTTAGAATCTCGATCTATATTATAGGCCATGAAATTCAGAAGATGAATATGTATACATAGTACATGAACCCCCTGGACTGATCCAGTCATTGGTGTTCAAGGGTCGGATTCTTCCATAAAGTCCTCCAACCATGCAAGTACCAAGGCCGTATCATACGCCTTGGAGTTTGAAGAGCCGAGTGATGTAGGCCAGCTATTTTGCCTGGGAGGGCAAGCTTGGGTTCCACACCCTCAAATCATTCCATGTTTATATAGTATCAAACCCATAAGTTACAACAATTGGGAAACATAGTGATTTAACAGCACTAAAATATTGCATGCTGACTGCATGGAAGACACGTTGGCATGTCAAGCTTTTTGGTTGACCACCAACTGATACCAGTTGTCTTCTTGTTCACGGTACACCATCTTGTGAAGTTCTGATAGGCCAGTTGTAAACACACCTCCAAGCCACCATTCCCAAAGCATTTCCTCTTTGCTAAGAGCACCAAGCCGGATGCAGCTAGGTCCAGCCCCCATCCCAGGTGACATACGTGACAACTGTCCGGCAATATGTTTTCCTGATTCATGCCGGGGATTTGGAGCAAAGCTATGTTGGAAGGGTCAAACCAGTAAGGTGACTTACCTCTTCTGTTTCCCAGGGTGCTCCGCCATGAAGCTTCCATAGTCATGTTCTCCCAATCACTGGCATCGCATAGATGACACTTGTCATTGCAATTGAAGCCACAGTTCAAGTGAAAAGCCTGGTATGCCCAGAGATGCCAAAATAAAAGGTAACATCACATTTATGCCCATTTCCTATGATTAAGGAAAAAACTCATTAAGTTAAACCATGTAGCTTTGCGGAGGTAAACCCAATCACCTTTGGTTCCAACGCACACGAGTCTCAAGGTGATGCCATCAACCTTGCAGGCGCAGCAGCGGGGTGGAGAAATGATACCAATCACAAAATCTTTGGGGATGAACAATTCATAGAAGGAAACAAATATTATCTAAATGTTTTCAAGGCAACAGTGAGCCCTTGGTGATAAAGTTCTGTCGCATCCCGAGCAATGAACTCATGAAGGTCATCCAGGGTTTTCTCCCCATCAAAGAAAAATGAAGAGATGCATGTAAGCAAAAACCTCGTTGTCAAGGTGTGCCTTAACTGGCTGGTACCCAAAGGGATAGAAATCATTATATAAATGGTAGCACATTTAGTAAGTTGAAAACATTCCCATACATTATATATATATAAACACATTATCATATATGATATAAAAATAAAAACGAACAGGTTACCCACTCTCATTGGTGTAGCCCAAGCCCTTGTGGGAGATCACTGGTTGAAAAGACTCCACCATAAACGGTCTTCTGCAGTAGCCACGGCCTTCATCCCCATGTAGAAAATAGGGAATGCAACATTCAGTTGGCAGCTGGTCTCGGAAAATGGTATGCCCGGGATTGATTAACCTGTAGGTGTTCCAGAATTCTGAGAATACCCCTTGCCAACCGCCAGTGTCTGAGAGCTTGTGCCCTGCCAAAATCATATGGGGAGATTCTCTCAAAAGACAACGTACCCATTCATGCATCCGAAGGAAAGGCCAGTAAACTTGTTCAGTTCGAAACTGTGGTTTCCTGAATGCAACTCGTATGAGCCCACAGTCAATAGGAACTGGATAGAGCACATTGTTGCGGTCAATCAGGGAATGCAAGTTTCGACATGCATTCGTTTTCGATAGCCCAGCACGAGAGAGCTTCCAAAGCAAGTCCGTTTTCTTGCGATGACCTGACATCTTCACATGTGAAACTTTCCAAATGGGCTTGGACCTTCTGTAGGAGTCATCCAGGTAAGTATATAACGGGTATAATTTATATTGATCGAACACTTACTGCATGTGTCATGATTTAGACAGAAAAACCCCAGTCCTTTGGAACGGACACGGCAAATCATCTTGGCCAGCTTCGATGTCCGGCCTGCAGACTCTGCCTTGGCTTCGCAGAGTGATGCCATGTGGTGCCACTAGTTTATTAATACCACATGACCGAATAATATATATAATATATAATGTAATATTGAGAGGTTGACTTGTACAAGATCCCATATATATATATAATTATATATATAATTGTATATATATATGAGAATATAAGCCAACTTCAGCCCGAAGCAGATTCTCATCAAGTTACCCCTTTGAGGTAGTCTCCAAATAGCTCCATTGCCAGCTCAGAATCACAAGAATCAGAATCATCTTCTTGTGCATCACGGGAAATGTGGCCTCATAAGCAGAAATTGTTGATCACAACTATATAAGAATAACTTCCAATATGTGCCGACAAACTATTTAAGTATCTCACCCATGGCGCCAGCAGAAACCAGATGTCTCATCGCACCTGGCAGTAGACATCCGTGAGGTTGAAACATATTTTTGTTGCAGGGGTTTCCTTAAATAGATGTAGCCCAAGGTATCCAAGATTCAACTGTTTAGTATTGACACCCAGGGTTTTGTGGTATCCCCATGTCATGAAACCTTAATAATATATTATATAGGAGATGAGATGAGCTCAGTTTTCCTTTGATGGTGGCTTCCTGAAATAGAACAAGATGCTCATGTAATCTGGGGGTTCCCCATATACCATTGATTTCAACAAACCACCATAAGGAAGAAACTGTTGGCAGGTCAGCATTCCACCAGTGTTTTCCCAATTTTTCCCCGGGCCAGGCAGAACCTGTCAGATTTCAAGATTGGGGATGCATGCCTTGCGAGAGGCGATCCCTGGATTGGGGGCCGATAGGTGGCCGACATATTGTAGCAGCTCCCAGCGTTGAAGTTCTCAATTCAAAATGAACAAGAATATTTTACTACATTGTGTTTCAATATTCTCCTGGGAGCTGATAATGGAATTGATAAATCACGCCTTGAAATCGGCATTTGCAAACGTCTACTTGCCTTTGCGCTTCTTTTTGCTAGAAGCGGCAGCAGTGGCTCCAGAATCATTTCCAGCTTTTGCCTTACGCTTTTTCCCCTTACCGGTCTTAGGGGGTTGAGTCACAGCCACAGCCATGATTTTCTTTTTCCTCGAAGTCAAAGGGGGCTTGCTTTTGCTGCCCGAAGACCCTGGTGCTGCTTTTGCCTTTGCAGCTTTCGGTGGCTTCATGTTCCTTCACAAAATTGTCAGTACAAACATATACATAACCTTTCAAAATTTTAAATGATGTGGTGGGATGTACATGAGTCAAGTAAAGAATCACCAGTCCTGGCCCTGGACAGAAGGTTGTTCACCAGGACATCCAGTTTTGTGCAGGCAATGTAGAGCTTCGTCAAATCACTCTTCGTAGAACTGCAAGCAGCGCTGCGCAACAGGTGATTCACAGAGTTCCTACAAGACTACATGGCCCAGGCCTCTCGGGTGCATCATCAGCCATCAAGGTCTGTTGTGAAGCAGTCAGCTCTTTGTACTTCCCATCCATCTCTTTGATTTTGTCCCCGATTTCATCAGCTAGCCTCCGAGTGGGGGTAATCGGATCATGCAAGTAAAGATGGAATTGATCGATTGGGCCCAGGCATTGTTGCTCGGTCCATGCTCATCTTTCGCAGGGTTTCCTGCCGTAACGAAACTTGTATACAAGCACAAGTATTATATATATGAGCTAATCAGAAGTAGCCCACTGCTGTCCTCAGCTTCTTCAGCTTTGGAAATTTTCTTGGCAACACCCTCAATGAAATTTGGGAGCAGACCTGAAGATAACATCAGTAGGCTGATGACAAACCTGAGATCACTGGTAACCTTCTTTGATTACAAATGATCCTCATATGCATGAAAGAAACTGTAGGGGCATGCGTTTGCCTGCAAAGATGGCAAAGTGTTGAGCTTTGAATTTGCAGCTGACTGAGTCGTGACTTTGGCCACGGCCCCAGGCCCACTGCCAGAACCGCCATTCCTGAAAGCCAGAACCCCAGAGGTTCACATATCAAGATATTTGATCCAAATGCATATCAAACACGTATATAAAATTATATAAACATGCTATAAATGATTTATTTCAAATCAGTTCAAGTCACATCAAGGCATTGCGATCCGTCGGATTCTCCATTAGCTCTCCAGTGGTATCCTTCCAATTTGCACACAGTATTGTATGAAAGCTTGCATTGCACATACTGACTGAAGTGAAAAGCTGACATCACATGAAGTTGGGGTCCTGGGTTACAAATTCAGCCCTGGAAGTGTTTGAGACTCTATTCACATTTTTGTGTTCGAAGTCCCGACGAACCGGAACCCGCCATTCATCTTCTCCATGGATTTCGCTCTTGAAGCACAGGCCACGAGCTTCGGCCCACCTTTTGCTGTGACCTATCATCTCCCTTGGCATCAAGGCCGGATCAGGGATACTTATCTATGCATGGGAAGACATCAGATAATATATAATATATGTGTGATGTTATATATATATATATGTTATCGATATTATATATATATATATGTGTGTTATCGATATAATTATATATAAATATCAAGATAGCTATGCATCAAAAAATATGAGCCTCAAATGAAGCTAGTAACGTTGTCCAACCTTCCATAGCGAGGCTGGCTTCGGAGTGCCAACCACCACGCAAAGTGTCAGACTCTTCTTCCACATGTTGCTTTTCGAGTTGAACTTCCACTTGCTCCAAAGTACCCTGTTGCAAGAGTAGTTTTCGCAGTTCCTCTCCTAAGATTGATGTCGAATAAAATCATTTATCCATCAAATTGTGGAAACACAAAGATCATACATGTTTTTTTGTCCAAGTAGCGTCCTTTCTCCGTTTTCATCATCTTCAAAACATTCTCACTTGCCTTGACCTCGCCTCTGGAATTTGGTTTCACATAGTTCCGAAGCCTCAGCCGATGAACGATACATGTATATAATTGATGCATATCGTTCATATCAAAGCCTTTGTACACTGCAGTGAAAGAACACAGTGACACACACACACACACACAGTCTGTCAGCAAACAAAGATATATATAATATTGTGTATATGCATATATTATATATTATAGCATACATGTGTGCAATTTACTGCTTTCAGGGGACTTCCAGTAAGTGCCATCTTGGTACTTGTTCTTTTTGGCCAGTGCTGGGGTTGAGGCATTGCTAGGAGGCTGCTGTGTAACCCAACTCTTGTCAGGTTGGGTCTCTTGCGTGGGCTGCTGTTGGCAAGGGGGTGCAGGTGCATTGGTGACAGGTGCAACCTGTTGCGAGGCAGCTGCTTGCTGGGGCTGCTGTTGGCAAGGGGGTGCAGGTGCATTGGTGACAGGTGCAACCTGTTGCGGGGCAGCTACTTGACTGGGCTGTGTTGCAACTAGTCCTGGGCTGTTGCCATGGTCCTTTGCAGCATGCTCGGCTGTGGTGTTTGCAGGTTGCTGATCATTACCATTGCTTGACGGTGAGTCTACTTGCGTGTCTTGTGCTGGCATGGTTTGCCCTGTGAGCTTTGCATCACCCTTTGCAAGTGTGCTCTGATCTTCTGCAGTTGTTTTCTTCGGTTCTGACTCTGCAAGTTTCGGGGTATCCACTTTCGTATCAACATAGCTGTCAAGGTAGCTATCAGGCATTCGGTCTGGGTATGGAACATGACCACCTGAATGGGGTGGCGTAGGTGTCTCCAGGTTAATGGCACTGTTGCCATAGTCCAAGGTTGTGCCAGTTGGGGCATGTGAAAGCTGCGGTGTCTTCTGCGCTGGCTCTGCCTCACTCAAACCACTGCTTAGGGTCCTAAAGGTCTGCGCATGGGGAGTGCAAGGTGGGCTCATAACAGGTGGAACAGGTGGGCTTCCAACTGTTGCTGGTGTAGCGGGAGGTGAGGTAAATGACCCTGCAGGACTCGACGGGAACTGCAACGCATTTGGTGCCAAGCCAAACCCTGGCATGAAAGCGCCAGCAGCACGGGCCGTAAAAGGGCCCCAACCTGAAACCAAACGCTATAACAAATTAGCTATAATCATATGAAATTGGACAGCCTTTCACAGTGAACATGTTTTTGCAGTGGGCCCCGCCTGGCTGGGGGCTCCCAACTGTGCCTGATAGGCCAGCAAATTGACCTTGCAGATCCTGGAGCCTGGCCGTCATTGCCTTGGCAACTGGTTTGGCCGGGACGAGAAGGTAACTATGGATCTGATATGTCAATCGATATATATATATATATAGCTATATACAGTATATACAGCATATAATGCATGCCATGATACTGCTATTGTTGCATCTAGATCAGCTGGTGGTGGATGTGCAACTGATTGGGCAGCCACCACTCCCAATCCCTCTTCCATTGAAGGGCAATTTTTGCCACCTAATCCTTTACCTGCCATCTCTACCGCTTAGGCAAGTCTTGAGCAAAATCCACTTCAAGATGAAATTGTGATGTAAATTCATTTGCAGTACAGCTTCAGTGTCAACTGTAGCAATTAAGCATCATTTTTTTTGCAGACATGAATATTGTCACGCTTTCTGCTCCCAGCTAGGATCCCCTGCCTGTGCGAATATGGTTACGAATTTGGCTGAAGCTTGATGAAAAATGATGAAAATATATTGTTTTCAAGCAAATCCACAGGAATTGTAAAAAACACGGTTAACCTAGTTTTTGGGATTTGTATCCGTTTGATGGTTTTTGTAGTCGTTTGATGGGTTTTTGAAGTCGTTTTGAAGATTTTTGTAGGCGCAAACTTTTCTATATTTTTCATGAAAATCAATGAAAAACCCTGAAAATCTGTAGAAAATCGATGATTTGCATCTAAAATCACGAATTTGCATCTCAAATTACGAATTTGCATCTCAAATCACGAATCAAGCTTCTAAGTCGCCAGTGGTCCCAGACAATGGCTAGGACTTTGTTACCTAATTAGATATGAAACTTGACTCAGCAGCATATTGGGCTACCAACGAGCAAGGTCGGCTTCAGTCATAACCTGAGCCGATGGCAAAAGTAGGACCAAGTGAAGGCTATCAGTTCAATTTGATTACATGGTTTCACATCCATCGAACCAATCAATCAAGCCTAGCGACGTAGTTCATCATTTCAGAACGAAATTGTTCCATTGCTGGTTGCCACTCAGAGGGGATGGTCAACTTCTTGTTCTCATAGAGGTAGAGGAACAGTTGTGGAAGCTTAGCATCCACCCAGGGGTCTGTGTTATCCAGAGATCTAAACACTTGCAAATCCGTTTTCTTGGGATCAATATATTTCTTCTGACGCAAGTCAAACCTGGGCTGAGGCTGGCCCCAAATACTTTCCCAGGCCAACCGCAAACACTCGCCAAAGCCTCGGGGGTACTGCCTCAGCCGAGACAGTGGGTCCAACGTGATTGGAAAGGGAACTTTATATCATTCCGAGAACCAGACTGGGTGGTGCGCAGTGCCTCTGTCCCCTGGAATCTTTGTTTTCCATCTTTTTTGGCCTTGTACTTACCTTAAATTTGCCAAAACTTGACAGCTTGAAATCCAAGAGGAAATGAAGTGATGTAACATAACCCCAGATTGACCCCACAAACATACATTTGGATCCAAACATGCAGGCTTCAAAACCAAATATAGAATTATATAGCTATGTTTCCAATCAAAGATTGATAGACAACTGCTCAAAATCTGAGGTCATTACGCGTCGTGGCAACAGTGCTGCTCTGCCGGACAGATTGGGTCAACACCCCAAGGTCCTTGCTTTGGGGAATTGAGAGATTATTGGCCCAATTGAAGGGAAACAACTTCGAAGATCTGAGGCAGTGTCTAGAGCATCAAGTATCTCTTCACAATTGCTCCAGCACATAGTTGGTTTCGGGGTTTTACCTCCATGAAGCATCATCCAGAATCGCTTTTTAAATACCTCACTCCCAGAGAACATGTACAAATTCTAACGCAGTTCTGTTTTAAAGAGCCATGGCTGTATGAATATAAATGCCATGTTGCAAATGATACCAAGTTTGCAAAGAATTCAAATCGACGATGTCGTGGCAAAACCTGATCACTACCACTCGGCTGTTCCATCACATAGGTGCAAGCAATCGCCACACACAAATAGAGTAGGAGGATGCACCTGAGGGGCCGAGATTCCCATTATATATCGATCATCATATTTATAGCTTATTATATATATATATATATAGATTATATATATAATATCATATGTATATATGCTTCAACTGAATGTACATTACGACCCCATATATATTATATATATATATATACGTTACTGCAAATCCACCAGCATTCCATATCACCATGTCACATGACGCATGATGCCCGTTGATCAGGGCCCTTGAGTCGCTCAAAAGACGTGCGTGTGCAACCGCACTGACAGCTGTGTTTCTTGGGTGCGAATCCCCGCTCTTGCATTGGTAGCGGAGCGAACCGATCGCCGTGGTTCGCATCTGCTCGCGCCATGCCAAGCGGCGCTGATGTTCTTCGAGCTGCTGCGGCCGCTGAAGTGACAGCCGCTGCCTCTGGCGATGATGGTGGACCACCAGGAGGAGACCAACCCCCCGATGGAGATGGAACACCGCCTGGTGATGATGATGATGATGAAGGATCCTATGAGGAAGGCGGAGAGTCCGAAGGATCTGTAGAACCTTCACCTGGTGATGAACTCTACCAGGAGATGATGAACATGCCCGACAACCCACAGGTCTTGCGAGAAATGGCCGGCTATCCAGCTCAAGCCGGTGGATCTGGAAAAGCATCTCGCTCTGGGAAGAATGGCCCTAGGCAACCTACGCCGTCTTCACCTGTGCCGTCGCCGTCAAGCCCTATCTCCGGGAGAAGATCACCGCCATTGAGGATGAGCCCACAGACACCAGATGGTTCAGACCGAGGATCTAAGTCTTCGAAGAAGTCTTCCCCGGGAGCTAGCGCTGGTGACGCTGGACGACATCGACCTCGAGGCAATCTTCCTCAGCCGCCGAGTTTCGACGGCAACACCAAGAAGGATCCGAAGTGCTTCAAGCACTGGCTGCAGAAGGTCGACAGCTTCATCGAGATTGCCAAGCACATCATCGGTGACGACGAGATTGGCCTACGTCTCCATGCGGCGCTAGAAGGAGACGCAGCCGAATACTTAGAAGGGATTCCTGCAAAGACCTTCGGCGTTCAAGATGGCTGGAAGGTTTTGGTGCAGGTCCTCAAGGAGAAGTACGATGAGAAGAAGATGCACAAGGTCGGATCGGCCATGAAAGCGTTCTTCAAGATGCAGGTGGACCGCAACTGGACGCTCACCGAGACGATGGACGCCATGGACAAGGCCGCCCGGTTGTGCAAGGAAGCTGGTCTCACCTTGCCGGATGAGATCATGACGCACTTCTTCTTCGAACACAGTGGCAGTTCTTTGGAGCGCCAAGCCAATGTGCTCCTGAGGACTGGTGGTGACTACACCTGGAAGAAGGTGAAGCAAGCAGTTGAACTACTATACCCGCACACCACTGTGTCGGCCCGCCATCGCGACCAGAACCAGAAAGGCTATGGCAAGGGCAGATCAGCACACGAGGTGCAGGGACAATGGGATGATGCTCAAACTGCTGATGGGACGTCCAACGACATGGAGTTGGAGGACTGGCTCTACTATGAGGACCCCGTCGAGAAGCTTGCTGAGTATGACATGCCGGACTACTTGCCCGAGAACCTGGCCCGGGAGTTGCACGAGGTGTATGCCACTCATCGTGAAAACCGAGCCCGACTTGCGAAGGCCGTGAAGGCCAGAGGTTACTATGTGACCAAAGGCAAGGGCAAGAAAGGTGCCGGGAAGTCCAAAGGCAAGGACGGCGGAAAGAGCGCTGGAAAGGCGCCGCCCAAGTCTAAGGGCAAAGGTGGCAAGGCTCGTGGTATGAGTCTGGATGAGCTCAAAAAGGTCACAACTTGTGGCGACTGTTTTGAGCTGGGCCACTGGAAAGGTGATCCGCAATGCAAAGGACCCAAGAAGGCACATGAGGCCATCAATGTTGAGCCGCCCCAAGCTGAACAAGACCATGGCTATGACGACGCGGAGTACTACGCGGAGGGCTATGGCTATGATGACGCTTGGGAATGGGATGCGCAGGTCAACGAGACCTGGGTGACTACGAAGGCCGATGGTGAAGATCCTCAACACGGACCCGCTGGAAGCCAAGATCCTGCTGGAGGACCTCGACCTGAGCCTTACGTTCGACAGGCTTGGAAGGAGCAGAAGTCCGAGCACTACCCCGAGCTCAACAAGGAGGAGGCCTACGACGTGATCAAGCAGGTCAATCAGATCAAGCGCAAGCACTTTCAGGCTGACAAGGCTACTGGAGACCTGGCCAACAAGGACGTTGACGTTGGCCCGGATGGGAAGCCGCTGGATGTGTTCACTGCGACGCAGCTGGTTCAACAGAAGGTGAAGGCCCGCAAGGCCAAGGAGAAAGCAGTGAATCATACAGCCACTGCCCCAGAAGCCGTCAGGGATGCCTTCGATGCGCTTGGGATCCGACCTCCATCGTCTTCTTCGTCTTCTGTTTGGGATTGCTACAACGCGGACAACGAGGACAAGCCCTACGACTTGGACAAGATGCGAGTCTCCTACATGGTCACTACGTTGGATCTACGTCCCCATCATCGAGAAGTTCCTGGAGGTGACCTACGTTCTGGACAAGTTCATCATTCTGGACAAGACCTACATGATGCTGGTGTTCGACTGGTCCCGCGCGACGTGTTCAGCAACACGCGTCTTGCGCCGACGGTGCAGCCCTGGACTGCCTACCTGACCATCGATACCGCCTGTGAGAACACGGTTGGAGGATTGACCCAACTGATGAAGGTCGCCCACATCTTGGAGGAGAAGCACAAAGTGAAGCCGGTGGTGAAACCCGAAGAGGAGTCTTACAGATTCGGGCCTGGTGAGCCACGCGTCTCGACACAGCGTTGGCACGTCCCCATTGGGATTGGCGGCAAGAACATGGTCATCAAGACGTCTACGCTTGAGGACCGCCATCCCGATCAGAACAAGATCCCATGGTTGGCTGGGCAAGACTGGCTGCGCTTCATGAGCGCTGTGGTGGACGTGGCAGAGCAGAAGATCTACCTGAAGGCGATCGACGCTGAGGCGCGGCTACATGTAGACCACACTGGTCACCTTGTGGTGGCCGTGGATGATTTTCCAGCCAGTGGATGGCCACAAGGCAAGGTCGCAACACGCGATGACTATGCCGGAGTTCTCTGGGCCACAGGAAAAGCCTACATGCTGTCCGAATCTGAATCCGCTTCACAGTGCACTCACATCTACAATCCTGAGGATGACACCCTGAATACTGATGTTTTGGGAGAAATGGTCCAATGTGTCGTGCCTGGCGATTATTGGCAGTACTCTATGGACAACCCACTACTATATGTACGGCATCACCCCACGCCAAGGACGACACGATTTCATCCTCAGGACACTGTAGATGGTCCAGAACCCCGTGAACTACAACCACTTAGGGTCACTTTCAAAGATGGTTCAACTCAACCCTTTTTGGACGTTTGGGAAGATCATGTGGATGAAGCCCCATGGACAGGATATACAGTTTTTGTTGGACTTGACTGCGACCCCCGAACTCGTTTGGATGATTTGGAGCCACCTCATGTACATGAAGGGGTACATGTCCAGATCGGGTCTCGCAGCATGGTCGTTCACCCAAAGTCTTTGAGAAGGCATGTGAACAAAAGGTTGGACAGAGGCAGAAACCTTGAGGTAGAACCACCTGATCTTCCAATCAATCGTTTTGACAAGGTGTTCACACCGAAAGCCAGTGGATTCACTTCTTCGAGCATGCTTGGTTCAAGCAAGGCTCAACACGATGCGATCTACAGCTTCAACTCGTCGCGACAAAGCCGCATGCCGCTGGTTGCGGATGGTGAGCGCGCTGCTGCGGATGGTGGCGGCGATGGAGCGCTACATCATTGCCAACAAGGTCGTCCGGGAGTTCAAGCACAGGGCACCTGCGCTGATGGGCTATGTGGAGGCGATCGTCCAACAGGAGGCAGTGCTGGCGCAGGAGCTTCCTCCAACACTACCGCCAGCATCGACAATGGCAAAAGGACAGACGCCCCATGCCGTGAACATGCACTACCCGCAGATGCCGGAGCGCTGCCCACATCTGGTGGAACATGGTCGACGCTATGGGAACGCGCGTGGCAAGTTCCTGGAATGCGTCAACTGCGGCAGCGTATGGAAGGGCTTGGACGACGTGGTGCCGATCACGAACGAGCTGGTGACGACCTACAAGACCTTCCTCGGGCTTCGAGATCGACCAGGAGGCAAAGTGATGAAGGGAGTGCAAACCCGACGAACTTCTTCTACAAAATCCTCTGCCTACTCATCTTCCTCACCTCCAACGTCTATGGAAGCAGCCTATGGGAGGACAGCTCCTACATCCATGACATCAACGCGGCGCATTCAGCCCAAGACCAAGGTCAAGGCGGAGCCCCGCGAAGAGAGCCCCCCTTGGGAGGAGGTGGATACGATCATGAGTTCCGGAGAGGAAGAAGCGTCACGTTTGAGGACGAGCTGAACAACCCCTACATCAAGCACAAGTTGAAGCCGGGACAGAAGAAGCGCATCCAATCCAATTCGCATGAGGCACTAGCCAACTCTCGACTACACCGACGACTTGTGCAACAGAGAATTGAGAATGGCAGGTGGCCTCGA